CAGAAGATAATGGAGGAGGTTGCGGTTGCACCTCAAATAATACAAATGGAGAGATCCGAGGCCCTGCAGGAGCATAAGCCGCTGTTTTTGAAGATTGAAGTTGGAGTGGGCCAGGGGGAGTCTGGAGCTGAGGAGGTTCTTAACTTCGGAGGGACTTTGAAATATGCTCTTAAACATTTTTGGATTACATTGATGACTGTGGGGAGTGGGACTGTGGGGAATGGGCTGGTTTGATGAAGGGAGATGGAGATAATTTTGGGCTGGAACCTCCCAGAGACCTACTCCTCAATGAGAAAGGAAAGAAATTAAGAAAGAGACCAACAAAAGACAAGGAAAAGTGCAGGTATAAACAACAAGAAGAAGATCTGCAGAAGGGACATGGAAGAGACTTAAGAGCCTCGGACATAAGATTACCAGGTTGATGGACTAGATGGAATGGACAGTAAGGACTGACATGACCCGAGACCAGGAAGAAGAGACGTTGGATGAAGATTGGAAGAAAATTTATAAAGAAAAATTTTTATTTAGGGAATTAGCCTAAAATTAATGAATATTAGGGAAAATGTTGGAATGAAACTATATGGTTTTAGTAGAAATGATATAAGGAGTCATGTATAATTGAGTATTAAGTTTTAAGCTCTAAGGTATTTTACGGTAAGATAAGGTTAAATAAATCAAGGCAATTTGAATAACAGAATATGGGGAAAGATGGAAAGGATTTGTTGAGTTAATTAATAGGTTAAATTGTTAAGATAAATTATTCAATAAAAATTGAGAAAGATGGAAAGAATTTGCTGAAATAACTAATTAAACTAGAATACAAAAAGGGAGGTGTGAGGAAGTCAATGAAATAAGCAAATGGAAGTTAAAGATACGTAATATGGGATTTGTGTTTTTTTCTTTTTTCTTTTTGCTGTATTGTTGTATTGGTTTTTATGCTTTTCCCCCCTTCTTTTTTATGTATTGTAGTGTTGTTTTCTATTTTTTCTTCTTTTCTGTAATTCTGAAACTTTTAATAAATATTATTTAAAAAAAATAAAAAAGGAAGGAGTGTAGCCCTTGGGAGAGTGCTGAGGGCCAGATAGAATGGCTTTAAGGGCCACAATTGCCCACTCCATTCTATGCACAATGGCACATAATGTTTGGTTGTTTCCACACCCCACTCTTCCCCTGAAGCCGACCTTGATCCAACTTGTACTTAAGAAGCAACACCCACCAAGCTGTTTATCTCTAGAAAACTGGAATGAAATCTCCCACCAATTCTGCAAACATAAGAAGAGTCCCATTGGATCAGGCCAATGGCTCATTGAGTCCAACATCCCATTCACACAGCGGCCAACCAGATGCCTGTGGGAAACCCACAAGCAGCATTTTGATCACGTGATCACTCTCCCCATTTTGAAGATTTTTTAAGGCAATAACATTCAGGATCATCTTGCCAATTTTAACACTTTCATGCTTAGGTTTTAGTTTGGTTTGTTAAAATCTTAAATGCAACAGCACCCATGACTGGAGATGCTGCGGGAGGCATCAAATTAGAAGTCTATGGACTGTTATTACTATTACATTTGAGCGTGGAAATTTTGATTTGAGAATCTCTCTCCACACCCCAACTTTTAAAATATAATTCTTGTCTTCAATTGCCCATACAGTCATACCTTGGTTCTCAAATGGAATCTGTTCCAGAAGTCTGTTCAACTTCCGAAAACCAAGGCATGGCTTCTAATTGGCTGCAGGAGCTTCCTGCACTCAATCGGAAGCCGTGGAAGCCACGTCGGACGTTTGGCTTCCAAAAATCGTTCACAAACTGGAATATTCACTTCTGGGTTTGTGGCATTCGGGAGCCAAAACACAAGGCGTTGGAGAACCAAGATACGACTGTAGTTGAAAAGGGAAATTTCTCTGGCTTGGTTTGTTGTTTTTTTTAAATACCCAGGACTTTCAGATACCAGCATGTACCATGCAGTACCCCAGTCTCTAGTTGTCTTCCGCCAGCATAAGAACATAAGAAAAGCCTTGATGGGTCAGGCCAATGGCCTATCTAGTCCAACACCCAGTTCTCACAGTGGACAACCAGATGCCTATGGGAGCACAACAGCAGCCTCCCCACTTCTGATTCCCAGAAACTGGCAGCCAAAGGCATACTGTGTCCAACGGCGGAGACAGAATAGAAGCAGGTCACCTCAGAGTTCCAGCGCTCACTGTCTGCAGCACACTTCTTGCCAGCCTCCTGGGGTCCCATGGGAAACGCCAAGAGGCAACCTTATATAACAACGATTATCCACTTGAAATATCAGCCATGCCCCCCACATTGGGAGAGCTTTGGTGCACTGGAGAGGCTTTTGTGAAACGTCAGTGGCTGGGCCTCCTTTGCTGTCTATAACCAGCTCCACCTGCAGCTCCAGGTGCAAGCGTTGCTCTTCCTCCGAGCTCTGCAAAAACACCACCAATTACGCATTAATCTCAGGCTACTCAGTCAAACCCCCAGGAATGAAACAACACCTTCCTTCATCTGTGTGTTTGCTAGTTAACCTTCATCCGGGTTTTGATTGGGGCCATATATCACTTTTGAAATAAACTGGGAAGCTTTTGTAGAGCCAGGAGGCTGTTTGCTTGTGCGCTGAGGAGCACCAACAAATGGGTGACTGTGTTTCTTGGAGGAAGAGAGGAATGTGCAGATATATTGCCAGAACTGCAGCCACTGGGTAGTTCTCCTAAAAGGCCACCCAATCTTGCAGGGCTGTAGGTTTCGCTGGGTGTTCTTCAAATTACATTGAAAGCTATGGTCAAATGGCCATTGATGTGATGGAAGCTAGAATTCAGTGGGCTGGAAGCCACTGGGCAGAGAGGACAGAAGTGAATCGTTTCCAGTCCTGTAGACTTCTGAATCTGCCAACAACTCACCCATCTCTGGATGAGAGGGACAAGGAATTAGACTCACATATATATAACTGTAGTAAATGTTTATATAAAAACACTGTGCTGAAAGTGTGTTGCTCTACAAATGGGCAGCTCACAGGATCCATACCAGCCACAAAGGGAGTTAAACAAGGTTGTATCCTAGCTCCAACTCTATTTAATTTATATATAAAGGATACTGTTCAGAGTTTAACATCCCCAGAGTATCATGCCCCTAAATTGGCCACAAATGTCATCTCTATATTACTATACGCAGATGATGCGGTACTTCTATCTCAGACAAAAATGGGCCTAAAAAGATTTATGAGGGCATTCTCAGGATACTGCCAAAGAGAACAGCTGGCTGTGAATGACAAGAAAACTAAAATCATGGTGTTTTCAAGAAACTATAGGGTGCATAGATTGTATATGGATAATCAATTGATCGAACAAGTTAAAGTCTTTAGAAGAAGAGTTTGGATTTGATATCCCGCTTTATCACTACCCGAAGGAGTCTCAAAGTGGCTAACATTCTCCTTTCCCTTCCTCCCCCACAACAAACACTCCATGAGGTGAGTGAGGCTGAGAGACTTCAGAGAAGTGTGACTAGCCCAAGGTCACCCAGCAGCTGCATGTGGAGGAGCGGAGACGCGAACCTGGTTCCCCAGATTACGAATCTACCGCTCTTAACCACTACACCACACTGGCTCTCTTTAAACACCTCAGCCTTATTTTTCAGTCAACAGGGTCATGGGGAGCACATCAGAAATATGCAAAAGAAGAAGCGTCTCAAAGCGCCAAAATTCTGACATGCTTTTTGCATCCAAAAGGTGCCAATCACATACCACCAGCACTTGAAGTGCTTAAAGCTAAACCCCCAGCACAGTTATTATACTGGGCTCAGATTTGGACAGACACTCACCTTGGATCTACAGAAACTGTTCAATCTAAGTTCCTAAGGCAATTTTTTTCCTGTTTCAACCCGTGTTCCAATTGCTTCATTATGCCTGGAGGCTAATCTCCCCTCCATTGAATTACAGACTTGGTGTAGGACATTTAATTATTGGCTTTGGCTAAATTAAAACCCCACCGGTCTACTGCCCTTAGTATTGCAAGATTTTCATGAGAGCGCTTGGACTAAAATTGTCAACCAAAAGCTTTACTTTTCTGGTTTACCACCACAACAGTTATTAACACCAGGCTTCAGTAAAGCAAACAATTTAATTAGACAGCGCCTATATGATATTGAGCGACAGAATAATATGGCCAAGATAAGGAAATTTTGTCCATGGTATGATTATTTTCCACCTAGTCATTTTGACACATTGGCACCCTATTTGCAAAATTTAACAATTCCAAAATACAGACGTGCTTTCACTTAAGCAAGATTTAAAATGCTGCCTTCAGCTGTACTTGAGGGTTGATTTTAAAAAATTACACTGGAAAAATTGTTGTGTCCATGTGGAGATGGCAGTACAGTGGTACCTCGGGTTACAGACACTTCAGGTTACAGACTCCACTAACCCAGAAATAGTACCTCGGGTTAAGAACTTTGCTTCAGGATGAGAACAGAAATTGCATGGTGGCGACATGGCGGCAGCGGGAGGCCCCATAAGCTAAAGTGGTGTCTCAGGTTAAGAACAGTTTCAGGTTAAGAACGGACCTCTGGAACGAATTAAGTTCTTAACCCAAGGTACCACTCTATTGAATCAGTGGCTCATATGCTTCTGGCTTGCACTCTTTATAAAGATTTGAGGAGTGAGGTTATTACCCCTCTACTACTGTCCATGCTGGGTCGCTCAACCATTGCTACCGTGTCCTTTCTTCTAGCAGATCAAGATAATCAGGTGACAGCAAAAACTGCAAAAAAAATTAGCAGGGGCAATTAAAATAAGATCTATTATTTGATTATTGATGTAAACCTCTGGAATGTATTTTGTATAGTTTTTACATCTATCTTCAGTTCATTTTATTTTATTATTTTATTGCTATGGCTAGTGGCTGATGCAAATAGCGATTCTTCTGATTCTATATAATTGTAGAGGTGGAAGGGACCCTGAGGATCATCTAGTCCAACCCCCTGTAATGCAGGAATATGCAGCCGACCCACACAGGGATCGAACCTGTGACCTTGGCATTATCAGCACCACGTTCTAACCAACTGAGCCACTCAGTGCCAGTTTTGCACACAAGCAAAGTAAGCAACATCTTAGAGCCTCAGATTATGAGAGTGCCTCTACATACAAAAGGTACAAAATTTCAAGTTTTCATAGCTGGTTTAAAAAAATGGAAATGGGGAAAACAGGTGCTAAAACAAACAAGATTGTTCTGATATGACAAAAATATGGATACACACGTATTTGTCATGTTGTGTTTATGGATCTGTGCAGCAATAACTTTATAGTTTATCCTTCGGCCACATCATCAGTAGCTATGCTCTCCTTTAAAAAATTACATTTGACATCAGGTGCAGAACAGACCTACTGTGGATGTTGTATCTTCCATTTAGTAAGTGCTAAACTGTGATTGCTCCTGTTGGGAAGGTGCCCTGAGGACGATTGGTGGATCCTTATCATTTGCATGTGCATTTGGAAAGTTCTCTGTGTTCATCAAGTTTGAAAGGAGACCACTTCCATATTTTTTTCCCAAAGAAAATTTAATTCCCACCACCAGCAAAGTCATTTTAATTCTCCCCATTGTAACTCCGCAACATGTATATAATATAATCTTCGGTACCAAACATATATACTGTATATATAATATATTCATATATTTGTTCTGAAATATAATCAATAAATACAAAACAGTGAGAAATTATTATAAATTATTATCTTCAGTACAAAAAGAAGGGATCAATGCTTCTTACGGGCGTGGTACCATTTTACAGGGAAATAGGAGCTTGCACTGCTATTCTGTAAATGTCTACTCAGAAGGAAATCCCACTGGATTCCATGCTGCTTTCTCCCAGGTAAGTGGGTATAGGATTTCAGTCTTAGTCTGAAATGTACCAAAAGGCAGAGACTTTTTATTAAATGCATGTGTACTTAGCACATACATGTTCACGCTCTCTCTCTGTGCCCCCCTCACACACATGCATACTTCCCCATGTAGAGAAATTCCTCGCTTCAGAGGGACTGTCACAGTGAATCCCTCTGCTTTCAATTCAATTTTAATTGCAAATAAGTTTGCTGTTTCTCTTTCTTAGAGGAGTGTATGGGCATGGGAAGCTGCTGCTGTATGCTGAGGTGAGCCACTGGTCCGTCTGCTGCTGGCTTTGCCGCCTGAGGCAAAGGATAAGATTCCATGGGCAGATGCCAGTCAGACTGACTGCTGAATCTTACTTCAACACTCGTGGCAGGACAGTGCCGCAACAAAGGGCTGCTGTGGGCTAGCTTGGGGGAGTGTACAGAGCTGCTTGGGTGATGTGCAAAGCTCTGTCCTCCAATAGAAGGGAACAGCATGGGAATCTCAAAAGGGACCTGCTGCCACTGTCCCCCCACAGCCCTGGCCAGCTGCCTCATTCTGTCTAATGGTAGAGCCGGCCATCCCACCCAGGGCTGTTCACTCTGAGAGTGATTTCCCAGGGGTTAAGGCTTGCAGTGGAAATGCGAATTGGACCATCTGTCACTGAGTGACATCCCCTTTAAGGTCACGTTGACCTCCCCCCTCCGAACCCCACACGCATTTTACCTGCCTGTCCAAGTTGCATTCACACACACACACACACACACAAGTTCACACCTTTGCATGCTGCTTGATTCACCCAGAGCAACTACCACTCTAGGTTTTATGCTCACCACTGTTTCTCATTTTCTTAGAGCGTACGCTCTGTCATAAATTATGTCACCCTTAACGCGTGTTGAAAACTGGGTAAGGAAAGCCCATCCGTCCCACTCTCAGAGGCTGATTCTATACATGTTGACCCAGAAGTAAGTCCCATTGTGTTCCTCCCAGGGAATAAGGCATAGGATTACAGCCACAACCACTCAACCACAGGGTGGTTCAAAGCGAAGGGCAACTAATCTATATATTAAGTGCTCTTGAATATGTATTTTTCCCCGTGAGTGATTTGAGGGTGGTTTAAAAGAGCAGGTTTACCCTCTCTTCAAGACATGCTCACAGAGATTTTCAATCAGTCTGGAGTTGTACTGGATAATATTCCAGATTCATCTTCCCAGAAGCAAAAGGCTGAGCTCCTATGTCCAAGCAAGGTCCCCCTGAAAGCAGCAGTTTCTAAGCAACTGCATTCAGTATGGAGATATTTGGGGCTTGGGGCAGTGGGGAATGCAGCCTAGTGAAGAACCTTACGTCCTACTGGTTTCAGTGGGAGAACAGTTGTGCTTATGCTTATGACCCTGTGTTTTGATTTAGCCTGCCGTCCACACTACCTCCAATACAGTGCAATTATCCCACCAGAACAAACATAAAAGGTGGGAATCAGTAGGTGTTCTCCTTTTAGGACCCAGAACTAAATGGGGGGGGGGGTTGGAAGAGATGCAAAAGTTGGCATTAATTGGTAAGACATTGCTGCACGGGGAAAGGGGGTGAGTATCCTTGCTGGAATTCCACACTAAGTGAGCGCACCTTGCTGCGTTGTTACAATAGGGTGCAGTTAACCCATTACAGATTATTATTATTATTTAAGTACAGTAGAATAAAATCTCTAAGTACCAAAGAGGATGAGGCAGCGGAATTAGCTGCCTAGTGATGTCATGAGCAACTCTCCAAAGGGTGACTTTGAGTTACACCCAGATTTTATGCTTATGGAGGCTGGGGGGGCATTCCCCACCCCACCCCAATTCAGTGCTTTCATTTGAGCCCTAGAGAAAACGCAATTTCTCCCTTAACGTTTTATGCTAACTGGAGCAAGGCCACTGCATATGACCGCTGCACAGTCTCCGGATGAGAAAACCACCCCTCCTAGAAAGTCTCTGGCGCAGAGAGGGGAGTCCTCCTGGTGCCTCCGGATGCGGTCGCATTTCAGCTTCCATCATATTCACCCCGCGGAGTCAATGCTCACGGATGATGGGAATTGTAGTTCAACCACATCTAGGAGGCTCCAGGTTCCCGATCCCTAGCTCTGAGGGCTACCATGTCTTATTTTCTTCCCAGCCCTGTTTTGGCTTCTCCCCCCCCAAAAAATGGGGGGGGGGGTGCGTTGTCAGGAAAATTGCACAGACCAAGTGGAGGGAGCTCTCCCTCTTAAGGTAAAGGCTGAGGCGAATCTAGTGGAGGGGAGAGCCGAGCGGCCGAGCCGCCCTAGTACATACGCGCAAGTCCTAGTACAATTCCGTCGAGGAGGGGATCTCAGGCAAGACTAGACGGCTCAGACGAAGTCCGGGAAGACCGCGCGCTCCGGGGGGCGCCTGAGTCGGAGAGGGCCCCCGCCGGGGGGCGCCTGGAAGGAGTCCGTGGGACTGAGGCTGCCCTCTTGCGAGCCGGGCGAGTCCAGCGAGGCGGCGTCCCACTGGCAGCAAGCGGGCCAGGCAGCCAGGCTGTCGCAGCCGGCGGCCAGCTGCTGGAAAGCGGCGCCCACCTCGGGGCCCGGCCCCGCGCCGGCCAGATTCTGGTCGGCCAGGCGGAGGGTCTCGGTGAGCGCCCAGATGTAGTTGTGCGCGAAGCGCAGCGTCTCGATCTTGGTCAGTTTGGCGTCGTCGGGGAAGGTGGGCAGGACGCCTCGCAGCGCGTCCAGCGCCGAGTTCAGGTTGTGCATCCGGTTGCGCTCCCGGTCGTTGGCCTTCATGCGCCGGCTCCTCTTGGCCTTGTTGGGGCCCAGCCCCTCGCCCTTGCCGGGCCCTCGGCCCCGACGCCCTTTCGCCGGGCCGCCGCGCGCCGCCCGCGCGCCCACCTCGACCAGGAGCAGGCAGGGGCTGGGAGACGAAGGCAGGCTGCCGCCGGCGCCCAGCGAAGGGGAAGACGAGGCGAAGGAGGCGTCGTCGTCGGAGATGCCTGACGAGGGCGGCTCCCCCTCGCTGGTGGTCGAGGCTGGCGAAGAAGAGGCCGTCTTGGGAGACATCCTGCAAAGCAAGCGGAGAGAGCCGGGCGAGGGGGCCACGTTAGTGGCAAGGAGGCACCCAGAGAGATGGCGCAGGGTTGTGGGCGCGCCGTGGCACATCCACGGGGCGACCCTTTCCAGGGGAAATGGGTTGAGAAGGTGGGTGCGCTGCAAGCAGGGATCCCGGGAATCTAAAGGGAAGGGACCCTTGGGTGCTGCAGCTTCGATGCTTTGTGGGAGAAGAACTTACATGTGCCCTCACGCAAGGCACTGAAATAATTAATCGATGGGCAAGTACCAACTTCTTCTTCTTTTTTGCACCCCCTTGGGAGAAATAAGCTGGTCTTTAAGCCCCCGAACCAGTTTGCAGCTCTTAGAAAGAATAGGACTGCACGAGGAACGGAAGCCTCTGGGCGTATGCAAAGCGCCTTGACCTCTCTGCCCAGATCATCGACGGCTCCCGGCACCTCTCCAATGAATCCACAGGGGAATCTTCTTACCTGAGCCAGAGGCGACGATCTCTCTTTGGGAGCAGCCCACCTTGGAGCACGAGGCTAGGAGAGCGCCTTCCCCGACTAGGAGAGTGGAGGCTGCAGGTCGGGCACACGACTGCCTCGGGGGGCCCTATATATAGGGCGCAGAGACAATGCAGGGTTTCCTGATCTGGGCAGCGTGTGGTGCTTTCTCTGTCCCGTCCCGTCCCGTCCCGTCCTCTCCTCCCTCTCCTCCCCGCCCCCCCCCGTCCGGTTCACCCCCGCCACCTCGCCAAAGCGCGTCCAGCTTGGCACGCTTTATCTTATCAGGCGGGCTCGGAGCGTGCCTGTCTCGTTACCGCCCGCAAGAGGCCAATCAGAGAGGCGCCTCCGGGCTGAGCCACGCGAGCCCCTTGCACAGCTGGCGGCCCAACAAAGAACTTGCGGGGGGGGGGAGATGCCCCTGTCGCCTCCTCAGCAGCAGCTCCCCCGCAATAGAGACGCGCGGGCGAGGTGCGCCCGCCAAAGGCGCAAAGCCCTTTGCTTCACGGCAAGGTGTTTGTGCGCGCGGGCGCCCAAGCAGAAGCGCAAGATTGCCAAGCACTGCTAGAGCTGCCGCCTTGATGGTTCAAAAGGAGAATGGCGGCAAAGCTTCTTCAAATAAACTCCTAAAACACACGCGCCGCTTTTCTTTTCGGCACAGTTTGGTTTATTTTTACGTATTTATTTAATGGCATGTTAACCTTCCGTTTTTATGCGTTAGCCAAGAAGAGGTCTTTGGACTCTGGAATCTGTCCTCCCATGCTGCGCAATCCTAGACGTATCTACTCGGAAGTAAGGCCCATTGAATTGAGTGGGGCTTACTCCCAGGTAAGTGGATGGGTGTAGGATTGCTTTGCACGTGCAGCAATTAAGATGGATTCTTGGAGGGGCTACAAGCGGGTTTATGCGCAGTAGAAAATGCATCCTGCAAACTAAGGAATTCCTTTAGTACAGCATCCCCGTTTCCAGAACTAGTATCTAGTCTGGGAAGCCCGCCCATGAAGGCAGTAATCCCAGGGGGCTAACCTGTGGTCCTCTACTTTATTTTGTCTGTTTTGAGAAAGAAAAGCCACTTAGAAACTAAAAAGGAAACAAAGCTTTGGGGGAAATCCTTTTAAACCTATTCTCTGCCCCTAACGTTGCTTGCAAAAACACATCTAAAGTCATCTCTCCTCCTTCTTCGCAGCCACCCTGTGAAATAGGTGAAGCTGAGAAAGAGTTTACTAGCTCAAGCGAGCCGAAAGATTTAGTGGAAATTTGAACTCGGGTCCTAGTCTGAAACTAATTTCTACGCAACATAGATACATTTTCGGACCATCCCTCCAACAAAAGCATGATTTGAGATTTTTCAGCATTTGAGGTGCTGATTTAAAAAAGGAAAGAAAATTGCAGAAGGCAGATTCAAACCAGATGTCAACTTAGTGAAAGCAGCTAGCCAAGCAGAATGGCACAATTGCAGGTTCTCGGGGAAGGAGAAAGACAGACCCATGAGCCATTGGACAGCAGCAGACAGCAGGTGTTCTGCACAGTAGCTTTTGAGTAAGGGCAGTTAATCTGAGATCCCTATATAAGGAAGGGCTACAACGCAGTAGCAGAGCCTATGTTTTGCATGCGAAAGGTCTCGGGTTCAATTTGTGGCGGCTCTAGGTAGGGCTGGGGGAAAATGTTCTCACCTGAAGCTCCGGAGGGTTGTCAGCCAAGGTAGACCAGTAACAAGCCAGACGAATCAACTTATCAGTTAAAGGCAGCTTCCTGTGTTTAGTTGAGAACTTTGGTTTAAAGCACCCGTATAGGTCATTACTGTGGTGTCAGTTCTGGGAGGGTGTTAGGGAGCCCGTGGTCCTAGGGTATTGTTTCACACTTTCATAAGCCCCAGGCAACTTGTGGTCAATGGTCAGGAGTTGTCCAATAACATCTGGAGGCACACAAGTTCTCTAGCAACTGGTGTAGCCGTCCTTTCCCAGGCACAGAAACAACTAGCTGTAGCACTGCTAATAGGCAATTAAAGGTAAAGGGACCCCTGACCGTTAGGTCCAGTCACGGACAACTCTGGGGTTGCGGCGCTCATCTCAATTTATTGGCTGAGGGAGCCGGCGTACAGCTTCCGGGTCATGTAGCCAGTATGACTAAGCCACTTCTGGCGAACCAGAGCAGCGCACGGAAACGCCATTTACCTTCCCACCGGAGCGGTACCTATTTATCTACTTGCACTTCGTGCTTTCAAACTGGTAGGTTGGCAGGAACTGGGACCGAGCAATGGGAGCTCACCTTGTCTCGGGGATTCGAACCGCCAACCTTCTGATTGGCAAGCCCTAGGCTCTGTAATTTAGACCACAGCACCACCCGCATCCCTTAATAGTCAATTAACTAGCCTCAAAAGGAGAGCTCTCTTGTCTCCATTGCTTTTGGTTTTTTGCTGCAATTCTCCTGCTGCAAGGGAACAGGACATTTCACACACTCCACATAATACCCCAAATGCGGCTTCTCCCAAGTATTCCAACATTTTACTCGCTACATCAGAAGTCAGCTCTGCCACCAGTGGTCTCTTGTAACGGTGTCTCTGTTTCTATGCAGAGTGCTAAAGCAAAGCAATGTGCAAGTAGAGGGAAACTCCCTAAGGCTACTACAGTAAATTCAGTGGGGTATAGAATTGTAGAGCTGGAAGGGACCCAAGGGTCATCTAGTCCAACCCCCTGCAATGCAGGCATCTCGGCTTGCTTATGAGTAACTTCACAATGGATCCAACAGACAGTGCATAGTGGATAATGAGTCTCCGTTACGAGTTGTGCATCATTTAAAGGCTTGCTTGTTCTTTGACAAATGTCAGGTACTGTTCCAATGAAAAAAATGCCACTTTCACCAACTTCTGTTGGCAGTCCTGTGCCCATCATGTGTTCTGTAACTTGGAGCACCCAGCAGGCAAAAGTGGTTTCTATACTGTGTAAAAAGTTGTTTTAAAAGGAAGAATCTGGAAAGGTTTAAGAAAGGGAAGCCCTAGTTCTTGATTCCAGTTTGTATTTTCTGGCTGGCATCAATGCCCAGCTAGCTATAAACTACAAAGGAAACAGCCTTCCTTAAAACTTATTTATGTACTCAGCTGGTGCATAGTTCCAGTATCTGATTTATTTAATCCCTATCTTTCAGCTGCGTTTATTTTATTGCATTGAGATTTTATTATTTTAAATTTTGTAGCCCACTTCAAGACTCTTAGGGAGGCAGAACCAAAACCTCTTAGTATGGGAGTAATCCCAGCTCCCCTCACCCAGCCCACCCGGGGCATTACAGAATGGCAGTGCCACACATGGGGAAGGGGGAGGCAGATTACTGCACCAGCCTGCAGCTCATGGGGTGACTGGGCCTGAATCAGAACCAGTGTCATCATGAGAGCAAAGCAGTGATTGCTCGGATCTCTGGCCAGCTCGGTTCTGCTCCCCCGAAAGCTACATTTTAGGGTTTTCTGCTAGCAGGTGGTAGGGATTCTCCTGGCAGTCATTCTCCCTGCCTATTGGGCAAGTGGAAGGAGGGACTCCATACTAGTGGAGGTGATGACTGACAGAGGCCAACAGGGCTGGACAGAGGGACACCCACACCCAACTCAACCCCCAGCATGGAGCAAAGGGGGTCTTGACTGCCCTATACATAAGTAAATACTGATAGATAATAAAAAGTTGCCTTGCCTTTTTTAATGTTATATTTCTCCTTCCAGCACCTCCGCACTCAGCATAGCTTAGACCAGTTTCCAGGCTAAATCCATGGTGATCAACCTCTTTCACTGCTGAAGTTAAGCAGCTGTAGATCAGGTCAGTACCTGGGTGAGTGACCACCTGGGGACTTTACAGACAATGCCTTGGGTTCCATGGCAGAGAAAGGGCATGATAAAAAGGTAAAGGACTCCTGACAGTTAAGTCCAGTCGCGAATAACTCTGGGGTTGCGGTGCTCCTCTCGCTTTACTGGCCGAGGGAGCCGGCGTTTGTCCGCAGACAGTTTTTCCGGGTCATGTGGCCAGCATGACTAAGCTGCTTCTGGCGAAACCAGAGCAGCGCACAGAAAGGGCATGATATTTGTCCGCAAATAAATAAACTCTGAGACACATTTGGTGGCAATGTGGGAGAATGCATATTTTCTCTGTGGTGGAACTCAGCTCACAGAACTCACTAACCAAAAGCTTAGAGGAAGCCCCTCTTTGCCTGTGTTTTGCTGGGGACTGAAGACTTCTTTTCCGGAAAGCCTTTGGTTCTACTGCTGTTCTGTTGCTGCCCCATTTGTTAAGTGGGGCTCATTCCCAGGTAGGTGGGTAAAGTGTTGCTGTCTTTTATGGACTCTTTAGTGGGTGGGTGAAAAATGGAAAACATGAGATTTGTAGAACTATGGGTTTGAGAGTGAAAAGGAGATTTCTCTCTCTCTCTCTCTCTCTCTCTCTCTCCCTCAGTGTTAGAAACCTGGGGCAGGGGAGAGGTGTTCACTTAGCTATGTGCCAAACTCAAATCAGTTTTCACAGGGATATG